TGAAAGAATTGAGTAAAGAAGAAGCCACTGCCATGGCTAAAATCCAAGATTTGATCGACAATCAAACTCTAAAATGTAATTTAATTTACATAAAAACTAATTTTAGGTCATATCCCGAGTCTACCAACCATTTAAAAACTTCGGATTTCCACTTAAAGACTCTATAAAAATAGTAGTCGATTTATGACAGAAAATTCAACAATCTAAAACTGGCATAGCTATACAAAACAAATAAAAAATGATGTTGGAGAAAAATACTAGGTTTGTAAAGTTAAGTAAAATATCAAAAATAATGATGGAACTGAATCAGACACGGCTCATTTCCTTGATGAGTTCAATATCGACGATATTACGTACATGAAATTTGCTCCGATTACTTCTGTGGACATGGAAATAAGTTTTTCATCCTACAAAACGTTGCTAGCAGAAAATCGGCGATCATTTGTATTTGAAAAATTGAAGGAGCTACTGATTGTCTAATGCAACAACACAATTTAAACGTAATTTTCACAATAAAAACAATATGCGTATAAATTGTTTATTTTATAGTACTTTTTGTTATATATTTTAGATAATTTCAAGCCGGCCATTTCATGATAAGTCCAATGAAAACTTCATACTTTAGTTTTCCAAATTAAAATTTTTTTTGCTTTTTTTTCGTAATATTATAATTTAAATAATTTTGTACTGAAATATTAATTAATAATTAATAATTATAAATTTATAATGCATTCTTATAATATTTTAAGATCATTTTTTATCTTTTGTGCATTTTTCAAGGTAAGTTTTTTATGTAATTTTATGTTATTTTAAGGTAATTTATTTTCTTTACATTTCAATAATTTATTTGTGTGAAATAGTTTATATAAATTTAGTATATCATAAACAAAAAATAATTAATGATTTTGATTGAGGGGGCTTTGACGGTTTACATTAAATTTAAGGAGCCCTATAACAAAACATGTTGAGAAGCACTAGCCTATAGTCATAGGCGTACGCAGACAAATTTCAGGGGGTGCCTACAATTTTTTTGGGACCTTATTTTAATTTAGGTCCGCTCTGAAGAAAGACATAATAAATTAAAATCCAAGGATAAACATTTATTTAATTTTATAATATATTATTCAAATACAAAAATTACTGATTTAAAATAACATACGCCTCTTACTTAAGTTATTGAACTCATTAATTACTAAATCTACATTAACATTAGAAGCCATTTCTTGTTCTGTGAACAGTAGAATTAATGATTCTAAACGGTGAGAATACCCGTTCACAGAAACAACTAGTAACAGGTAAAATGCTAAACATTTGTAATATTTAAAAAAAAAAACAATTAAAAATAGTTTATTTACTGCAATCTTTTAACCAATCAAGTCACAAAAACACAGTCTCTTATTAGTAGTTCCTTTAGGAAAATTTTTGTCATTTGAGTTTTTGAGAAGTTTGATTTTGGCAATCAAAGTGTCTGATGAAATGTTTACAAACTTTTCTAATATGGCAGCTATTTCTGTAGTTATATTTAAATTAAGCATATTTGCAACAGAATTTATAAGGTCAATTGTATCTTGTTTGAATCTCGAATATATTCCAGAAATGAAATCATCGAGTAATAGGTAATATACAGAATCTTTAAGTTTTTCATATTTAGAACTATAAAATCTTTGATTTGAAGGAGACTGATCAATTTTAGTTGAGATTTTATTTTTTTTACTTCTGGAATACGTATTTTATGTACTTCACACATTTTTTCAGTGTTGGGAAATATAATTTTGAACTCTTCTTCGACATTTCTTATGTTTAATAGAATATTTTTTAAAGAATTTACACTTTGTGTTGCAAATAAAATGTCAATATTTGGCGACTGAAGCAAATAAATTTCTTTTAAAATTTTATTTGAAATAGGAGTCATCAATTCCATACCATAAATAAATTCAAATGTTTGAAGCTGTAGTGAAATTAACTTATGCTATACAATAATTATTCGTATGTTATTTTAAGAAAAAGTAATGATAATCAAAATAATAATAAATTAGGTGGAAATATTCATAAAATACGATATTAAAATGTCCGGAAAAAATTACAACAAATTTAATTAAACCCGTAAATTTTAAATTAATAATAATTTATATTATTGTATGGATAATTTAAGGAAAAATCATTAATTTTATTTCTGTATATAAACTATTCAATTATAGTGTCACATAATCACACTTCAAATAGTAAAATTTGCGAAATAACTGTTATCAAACATAATATAAAAAAAGAGCCTTGGACATACGAGAAATTCCTAGTCAAATGGTTTTATCCATCATGCTCAATATTTTTGAAGATACAGCGCGGTGATACTTGGAAATTTATTTTCCATAAAACGTAACATACGAAATTACCGACAGGAAATTCCCCGATGAACCATTAAATGCAAATTGTTGTCTTCCCAATGAGTGGATAACTACGCTGGGTGCTAAACGAAGCCATTTTTGATTTTTGATAGTCATTTCACAAATTTTGATTTTTGCCTCTAATTTCGTTTTAAATATTTTATCTTACACTGAAACATGGTTTATGGATGGAACTTTCAAGTGCTCAACTAATATATTCCAACAACTTATATTATAACTTATGTTATACGAGGAAAATATAAAAATAAAATGTCTACTTATGTGTATACATTTTTACCTAATAAGTTAAAATGCACGCATCCACTATTTTACAACAAGTTGTTATTATTTATATTCAAACTTCAAACAATCCAAAACCAAAATATATCGTAATGGATTTCGAAATAGGAGCTATATGTGCCAATAAACACATATTTGGTGATAGTGTGCAGATTAAAGGATGTTTTTTCACTTATGCCAGTCTATGCGGCGAAAAATGCAACACCTAGGTCTAAGTTCTGTTTACAAAAATGACAAAAATATCAGAATAAATTGTAGTATGATTAATGCTTTAACGTTTTTACCTCTCAATGAAGTATCCAGTGGAATGGCTTATTTATATACGATAATTCCTATAGAATTATTGCCAGTGACTAAATAGTTTGATGACATTTATGTCAGTGGTATTAATGGTATACCAAATTTTTCTACAATTTTGTGAAATGTATTCGACGTCACATTGATTGGTGGTGGACAAATAAATAACTATTGTGAAGGGTGGAATAATTATTTTAATAAGCTTGTAGGAACAAGCAACCCATCATTTTGTTTAGTTCTTTGATGTATTCAACAAGATGAATCTACGATGCGAATTGAAGAAAATATACGGCATGAATAATCTAATAATTTAACACCTCGAAAAAAAAATAAAAAATATACTTCACTTCTGTACAAATTTCATGAAACTATTACCAGTTACGTAAATGAAGAAATTACAACGGAATTTTTTTAAAATCCATAGGGAAACTATTGTAACTAGGTATTATGAACTATTGTGAATTTATATTTAATTTTTGACACGTTTTTTTACTAATACATATAAGGACATATTTTTTTACTACCATAATACTTTTATGAACATATTTAATTTAATTTCGAACACATTTTTTGAATCATTAAAAATAAAATATTTTATAGTACCAATATTTCGCTTATTTAATTTCTTTTGTTCAAAATACAGTAACCATACCAATTTTTCATTTACCATTTAAAATCAGCATGGTTTTGATAAATATTAAATGTATATTCTTGAGTTTTACTGCATTGATTCAAATAAAGACAAATTTGTTTAAGTATATTACAGATTTATAATCATACACGAATAATGAAAAAATACTTATCAGTTACCTATCTACCACAATAAAAACAAGTATGTACAAAAACTTATTAATTATGTATTTTTAGATTTTTCATTTTTTTTTAATTTTTATTAGAAATTTTAAAATCCTTATAAAGTCATAAAAATATTATAGAACTAGATAAAAATATTTTAAAAATGTTTTCACCTAATGGTTTAGGTGTAAAAACTTGTAATCAATAAATATTAAATCAAAAAAAAATATCTTTTTTATTTTAAAGTAATGATACATATAATTTTTAAATACTAAAAGAGCAAAAAACATAATAATATCAAATAAGTTATTAATTAATATTATTTAATTAAAATTTCAAATTTGCCTACTAATCAAATGTTATGTGGGTAACCAATTGTTTAAATTAGCAGTTATTAACATAAATGGGTTTTTAAATAAATATAAGTTAAGCAAAATTATTTTTTTTACATATTTTGTAATAGAAAATATGTTTAAGTATTTTATAAAAAAAAAAAATATAACATTAGTTTATTTTTAAAAAAAATAGGCTATTGAAAAATGATAAATTAAATTAAAAACCCAATTAAATAGATGCCTGATATTTAGACTAATTATAATTAAAAAAAACAATGATAAAGAATAATCTATTTTAACTTCCAAAATGTAATAATCATATGAATATGGTTATCCTAAATGTACAATATTATTACTGAATAATTGGCCTTTATAATTTATCCTTCATTTACTTGTAGACACTATTATATCATATTACAATAATAATCTTTGATTAGCGTTACTGAAAAATATATTTTACTGAATTCATGCCAATATTACAATATCAAAAAATCCAATATTAAACATTTTATTTACATTTAAATAAAAAATGTAAATATATATTATACATATCATATGCATTTTTCTATTGATACATTTTAGTTAGACAGGTCAGTAGTAGATAGATCACCTCATAGGCGTAACTTGGAAATTTATTAGAGGGGGCAAAAGTATAATTACATATTTAACGAAAATGGTTAACTAACCCATAATTTTGAAATAACCCATATACAATACCTACAATAACGAAATATAAATATATAATCGTCGAAAAGCATTTCTATGGTGATCTGAAAATAACAAAAAGATAATCTATCTGCGGAAATTGTTATCTAATCGTATCTACCGCGGAGTCAACGGGGAATCCGTAAGCGAGTTTACAATTTAACATTTTCAAATCGCTATATATGTAATGGAAAGATATCAGATGTTAGGCATAGTGGGCGAGGGCTCTTTCGGCGTTGTCGCCAAGTGTCTGAACAAGACGACTGGACGGACGGTGGCGGTGAAAAAACTGCTCGATTCCAAGCGGTACCCCGTCACGGTGGTCCGCGAGATAAGTCTACTGCACGCTTTTGAAAACGATCACGTGATGCCAATGATCGAGGCGTTCCGACACTGCGGTTACATTTACATAGTGTTCCCGTACATGCGGCGCAACCTTTACATGTACTTGGAGATGAATAACGGCGTTCTGACAATGGATGAGGCTAAGATATGCGTGTACCAAGTACGTACTCTTGGCATAAACGGGTGGCGATTGGAGACGGGCCAGCTTAGAATTTAATTTTAATTTTTAAAGGTAAGTAGAGTACAGTCACGAGGCCTGATTGACATTTTAAAGTTCAAAACCAAGTCGAGCACTCGTAAAACAAACGTTCTTAGTAGTTATGACTTCATAATTTTCTATCCTATCCTCGAGAAATGAATATGAATGTGCACTACACACGTTTGGTACGTATATAGTCCGCGAATATTCGTTTGAAAACCTTGACGACCCAACTTAAATACACAACTCGAACAATAATTACCATCCGTATTATGAACATACTCACTACTGTGCACATTTCTGTTACAGGACTATTTTTATGAAACATGAAACATTTCAAGTCTTATTGCAATTAAGTTTCATTAACATCCATGTAACTTTCAATAACAATTTTTTTAAACTCCTGAAGTATTTTCCACGTCCACATTATTTGAGTGTTAATGTAATATTTCAAATATTACGTTGTAGAGATAATCACAATGATAATATAATTACATTAATATAAAATGCTTATAACAGTCATATTACATTGCTGACATGCAATTTATATGTTTTTTAAAGTACTCTGGTTCAATGTTGCTAGTATGTTTTAATTAAACGATAAAAATTTAAAAAAAAAATGGTGAAAAAATGATTAACAATGCTTTGGAATCGAATTCTAGATACATCAATGGCACTTAAATTCTTAACCTTGAAATTAAACCCTATCAATCTGGCCACTAACCTAACTTGAAAACATTGTGTAAAATAATTTTATTTAAACAACATTTGAATGAAAGTCTTTTCGATGCTATATTATAATACATTTTTGTTGGAACCTAAAAGTGAAAACAATATTTTATTTAGAAGTACCACTCGACTTAAATTAATTCTTCAGAACTATGTACCTATATTAAATGAGTATTATTAAGTATAATTTTATGATATTTTTTTTAAATGATTTTGTAGAAATTTGTGGCTGTGTCGTGGATGATTTTGATTTGAAGGTCATCGTGAAGTAATTAGTTCGTTATGTACCAGGGAGCTTTGGTTACAGTACGGAGACAAATTGACTGAAAAGCTTGGATTTTTTGGCTAAACCCCAGAGTATGATGCCATATGTCCAGATGGAACGGAGGAGACATTTGTATATAAGAATTTTGTTTTGAATGTTGATGTTGGATTTTAGTAAGGGCCTGAGTAATTGAAGTCTGCTGTTTAACTTTTTTCGTTTGTCCATGAGATGAGGACCGCAAGTAAGTCTTCTATCGAGTGTCAGGCCGAGATATTTGAGTGCAATGTGGAATAGTAGAGTTGTTCAAGGTGATCGGCGGGCAGTCTTGTAGTCTTAGAGAAAAGGTAATATGCGATGATTTGGTTTCATTGATTTTGATCCCCCATTTATTGAACCAAGACATAAGGGTGTTTAGATGGGTTAGGATTTGACTGGCAATGGCAGGGTAACCAATTGAGGGTAGTATGGCTGTATTGTCATCATAAGTTCCGATGAGAGTGAACTGATTAACTGGAATATCCGCAGTGTAGAAAATGTAAAGAAATGGGCAATATCGCTGAATTGAAGAACGCCTGCTAGAACACTATGATGGGTTGATAGCTTAGCGTTGATTCTGACTGAACGATCTGTTTTCAATGTAAGATTTTGGGAGTAGATAGTAAGGGGTTGGAAATATTTTTATAAGTTTGAACAGAGTAATCTTTGGTGCAAAACAGTGTCGAAAGCCTTCCTAATGTCTAGAAAAACTCCCGAGCAATATTTTTTTGTTTCTAGTGCCAAGGGATGAAATTGGTTACACGGTGTAGTTGATGGTTGGTTGAATTATTGGAACGGAATCCGTACTGAATGTCGGGCAGGATATTTTCATATCGAGTTATTGGCATTAGAGTTTTTTGTATTATTTTTCAAACATTTTGCCAAATAACGGCAGGAGACTAATTGATCTGTACGAGGTTGGGCTGTTAGATGGTTTTCCTGGTTTCAATATTTTTTTGATAATGGAATGCTTCCATGAAGGAGGGAATAATGAGAGGCAAAGTAGGGAGTTGAATATATAAGTCAGCCAAATAATTGATTTTGGTGAGAGGTTTTTGATATTTTTATTTGAGTTCATGTCCGGGCAACTTGTTGTTTTCAGGTTTTTGATAATATTTGAGACTTCAGTAGTTGTGTGTTTAGCTGGTAGGGCTATTGGTGGTGAAGAGAGTAGAGATGTTTCAACAAAAGTCAATGTAATTTGGACTGGGGAATGAAGAGTGTGGCTTAAAAGAGTCAGCGAGGTGAGAGGCTAATAATTCAGCTTTATTTTGCTCATGGACTCAGTGGCGTATTTAAGAGGGGGCGAAAGGGACAAATGCCCCAAGCAACAAATTTTTGGGGGTGCCAAGATATTCTAACTTTTATTATTGATGTGTTTGGGATTTTTTTAATTTTCACACCTCTTCCGGTATTGTTAAAAGTATTTTAATAAATATTTTTGAGCATCTAATAATAAATTAAAAAATTATACTATACCTAGTTTATATATACCTAGGTAATACTGAAATAGCAAAATAGGTATATTACATTTATTATTCGATAAGATATATTTTCGTTCAATGTTTATAATAAAGACTCGGGTACACAGAACGCGGTATTCACTTTAGGGCACATATAAAAAGCTTATAAAAGAAGTAAAATTGTACTTATAAGTGTTCAATTAATGTTAATATTTATAAAAGAGAATAGTTTAGTTGAAGTATATCCAAAAATTGATATTGCTCTAAGGATGCTACTATGTACACTTTCAAGTAATTATTCAACGGAAAAATCATTTTCTACATTAAAAAGGGTCAAAACTTATTTAAGATCAACAACGGGAGAAAATCGTCTTAATTAATTAATTAATTAATTAAGATTAGAAATTAATTAAGATTAAAATTAGCAATCCTCAACATTGAAGCTGATTTAACGAAAACTATTAATTTTAATGATTTTATTGAAAATTTTTCTTCTCGAAAGTCAAGTAAAAATTTATAAGCTATCAATTATTTTATTATATATAAATAATAATAAATATTATATATTTAATCTAATGAAAAATCATGTATCGTTATAAATTGTGCATATAATAAGTGTTGATTTCGTTTTCTATATTTAATATGTTTATATATATATATATTTTTTTTTAAGAAAGAAATATTCACTATGAATAAAAAATATTAGGTTAACGATAAGATATGTATTACTATAAAATTATCTAATACAATATCGCAAAACAACTGATTTATAATTTGTTTAATACAATTAATTTTTTTATTACTTTGAATTTATTTATATATTTTTTTTTTTTTGGTAAGGAGGAAGGGCGGAAAAATTATTTTTCCCCGGGGCGCGTATGAATTAAATACGTCACTAAACGAACTGCTAGTGAGTTGTCTTATCGGAGTAGTAATCAGAGTTTCCTTGTGTTGTAGTAAAGATTTGGTTTTTTTCAAAGTGTACCCTTGTTTGAGGAAAGAGAAGCATGGTGAAATTTAAATAGTTCATTTTTGTGGGTCTTCAGGATAGATTTAAGTTTATTAGAAAGGGAATTGTATTTTTGCCTATCCACAGGATAGTCACAGTATTGCCAGCAGTTACGGGCTCTACGTTTTTCCGTTAAGTTGTCTGATTTCAGGTGTGAAAAGATGATCAGATTTTGAATTGTGAGCTGGAAGGGAGCCATTATTTTTTGCGCTGGGAATAGTTTCTGTAAAGTTTGTAATGGCGCCGTCAATATTTGCGTGAGATTTTAATTTGATATTGAGATGTGAGTTACGAGTCACGATACTACGAAACCTTGGCCAAATTATTTGGGAAGGATTATTATTATTGTTATGTGATGAGATTGAGGCATTTATTTGAATTAGAACTGAAATATGGTCAGACACTGAATCATTTAGGTTGGTTAGTTTTGTCTGGATATGATTTGGAAGGTTAGAGATGAAGAAGTCGAAAAAATCAGGGTTGTGGCCCAGGTGAGAAGACCAATAAGTTGGTGCGAGCGGTGCATGTACCTTGGCATGTTTGGTTCTGATAAGATTCTGGAGAGAATTCTGAGAGAGAAGATTGTTGTGCAGCCCCAAAAATGATTTCTGTTATTAAAGTCAGCTTCTAGTAGGAATGTATAATTTAACGTGGATACGAGTAGATATTGTAGAAGTTCATTTTTCGGGAATTTTCGGCCTGGGGGATGCAGAAGTAATGGAGTCTGGTTCTGAGTCGATAATCAAAAAAGGGTTGGTTATTTGCATATCGAGTGATATAGAAGGTTGAGATGGAGTGTGCGCTATTTTATTAGAGATAATTAGCGCTGCGAAACTATGGGCGGTACCGTGGGGGTGGTCAGCCCTTAGTTGTAACCGAATATTTTAAAGGCCGAATTATTTGTGAGATGTATTTTGGAGATCAAGGCTATGTCGACTTGGATTTCGATTAATGATATTTGTAGTTCATTTATATTGTTCAATACACCATTTCAATTCCATAAGAGTATGGTGATAGCTTTGGTTCTTGATTAGCGGCCATCCTTGATGAATTTCTCTATGACGATCATGGGATTGATAATTGACTTAAATTCATTAATGAAGGAATAATGTAGATTGGTTAGGTTGTTTTCAGCGGGTACCTCATTTTTGGACCAATTGTTTGTATGATTTCCCAACAGTTTGCTGATATTGGAGGTATTGGGAAGTGGTGGGAAATTTTGTGATTTATCTTGAGTGGTATTAGTTTCAAACGTGATTTGAGGAGATTTATTTTTATTTCTTTGTGAGGGTGTAAGATGTAATTTTCTGTGTTTTAATAGGTCCTTGTGTGTCTCTATAATTTTCTGGATGGGAGCCACCGCATAGCCCGCATATTGCTGGTTCGGAACGGCCTTTTTGACACTGAATTGATTCGTGATTGTTTCCACATCGGATACATCTTGGGTTATGAAAAGAGTAACTGCGGATATGGCCATAGGGTTGACATCGTCGACATTGGGGGATTTCTTCTTTAACGGGAGGAGTTTCGACTTACTTACTTACTTACTTTAGAGTAGCAGAGAAGTGTTAATTTGAAAATGTCTTGATTGGACTCCGATTGTTCTAGGTCGATAAAAAATAGGGGCAATGGTGTTTTGGTGGATTTATGAAGTACATTTGTTATGTTTTTAACTCAGATCCCAAGTTCTGATAGCTCCTTGGACATATATTTTATGTCAGTAGAGGGGTGAAGATTTTGGATGGCGATTTTGTATGCTTTGTTTTCTTTAAATTGATATGAGTGAAAGGAGATGGATTCCTCTTTGAAGTATTTGATAACTGATCTATATAAATCGGAGCTAAATGTTTGTATTTTAACACCTTTTTTGGAACTTTTGCAAA